ACATAACACATATTTTTTTCTACTTTTGCGGATTATAAAGTTCACTTACTACATATCTCATCAACTAGCTGTGGAAAATTGTTTGGCAAAAAGCATTTTCCCAACGAATCATCAAACGTATCATCTGCGATTCTGAATTACTTTGACTATTCAACTTTGACTATTCAATCATTCAAATTTTTCACTTTCGTCAAAAAAAAAACTTGATTTACTACTCCCTGACCTATTCAATATTTTATTATTTCAGTATTGTTTTTTTTTTTTTAGTTTTTAAAAGCAATGTTCACAAACTACAAACAAAGTAAAATTAAAAACGTACGGCAGGTGTGAATTTATTTTTATTTTATAAATGAAAAAGAAATTACAGCAGAATGAAATGTTTTATATAACTTCAGTGTATAGTAGTGTGCATGCAAAAGCAAAAGCAAAAGCAACAGAGCAGATACGATAATTTCCGGTTTTGCAAACAGTACAACAACTAATGCAACAAAAAGGAAGAAAAAGGCACACCACACTCGTCATTAACATAATCAACACACTATTAAACAATTTATGTCTGCGTGAGATATAAATATAAATACACATTAGCACTTAACATATTCGTATGCTTGCTTATATAGTTTGCAAAAACTAATGACATATTCATTGAAACATCTACGCTACGGGGCTACTAGTCTTTTGTCTAAAAATTATGAAAATCGTCAAAGAATAAAACTAAAATTAAACACCGACATCCACATTAATATTTTTTTATTTTTTATTTACTATAACATGACAATTTCTTTATTAACGCTAGAAAATAGATATGGAAAGAAAAGGCCAAAATCAATATACGAATCAGAAATTAGGCAAAAACTGAAACCGATGCCCCCAGATGGGTATAACCGCATGACCGCAGAAAAGTTCTAGTCGCGTTCACTGCTTTTTTTCTCGCTTAACTTTACTTCCTATTATTATTGCTTATTTTCTATTTATTTATTTATTTATTTTTATTTTTTTTCTTTACACATCTCAACAACCGATTATAAAATGTTATCTCAAGGGAGTTTTTTTTTTTTTCGTTCAATAATTTCTCTTCTGTCCCCCAGTTGTTAGTATTATTATTATTATTATTATTATTATTATTTACATTTCTTTCATCTTTCTAAATAAAACTTTACGCAAAGTAATTCTGACATTATCTTTGCTTTATCTAAGGCACGCAACCAGCAAGCAAGCAAAAGAAGAAAATATAACAGAAGCGGAGAAAAACATTACCACAATATGTGCATAAAAGTATTTTTATTTATTTATTTTTTTTTTTAAATAAATTCTTCATTCTTTATATTTAAGTTAATATCTTAACGTGACATTTCTTGGGGATATTATTGTTGTTGTTGTTGTTCTTATTGTTCTTCTTCTTCTTTTCATTATTATTAAATGCAGAGAATGTTTACTTTATTTTACTTTTTTTTTCTACATATTTTTGAAATTTCTCACAAACTCTGCCGTTATTTACTAAATCTCCACTTCTCTCTCGCTTGCATTATACATTCTGGTATCTCTGGTATCATCTTCTTTGTTAAACCAAATCTCTCAGCAACATGTTGCGTATATATATATATATATATATATTATAGATAGTTTATTGTGCTATGGTATTTATTTTCTTTTTCTTTAACTCAAAGTTTCTTATATAAATATGACCGATCGACCGACCGACCGACCGAGCATATGGTAAATAATTGTTTAGCCATTTATTTGAATTTTTTTTTTTTTCCTTGCATTACGAGTTTTTTTTATTTTTTATTTTTTATTTTTTTTTTGGTTATTTTCTGTCTTATTATTTTAGTGTACAATTCTGTTATAAACATTGCATTTCATTCATAAAAGGTTTGCTATTGTAGTAACTTGTTGTTTTTATTGTTTTTATTGTTGTTGTTGTTGTTGCTTATATGAACGTTGATGTTAAAAATAGCGAATTTTTTCTTCGATTATTCTCAATTATTTACATTTAAAGCGTACGTTATCATTTGCTTCTTCTCTAAATATAAATAAATTCGTTTAATTGATGCCTTACTGTGAATTGAAGTTTTCCAAGTGCCACGATTTTGTGCTTTTAAAGTTTATTCAATTTAATTCATGTATTGCCCTTCTTTTTGAATTGAATTTGGAAAACATTTTTAAAAGACTGTCGAGATCACTCCCTTGTAAACATAAAATTTTGAAATTTTTAAGTTTAAAGTACTCTTGGTAACACCTTTTGTTGTGAAATGCTGATTAATTATGGAAAGAAAAGTCAGCATTTACATTGGAAAAATGATTTCTGTTTTAATGGATCACATTAAACATACGAATTGCGAAGAGTCTTATAGCGCAATCTATTCCTTACGCTTAGTCAATACACATAAATATCATTTGCATATTTATTGCCTCCATACAGAAATAGAAAAAGGAAAGCGCACTTTACAGACATTTTGTCAATTTAGCGCTTTTATTATGTGATGAAGAGTCGAGCAGAAAACCAGATTTTATCGAAACTCTAGAGCAAAAACAACTAAAGAAACTGTAATGCGACTTTCAACATCCTTTAGCCAAAACAAGAAAATTAATATTTTATTGATTTTTACATTGCGGGTCGCTAGAGAAGAAATATCAAGTGCAATAAAGCAGGAAAAAATACTGTTTGATTTAGAGACGGGCAACGAGAGAACTAATGCTTCATATAGAGCTGCCATGATTTCCGGACGTACTTAGCCAAGGATGCATTTCGCATTTCTTTCGATACCGATCATGCCTTTAAACAGCAAGAGCACTTAAATTTTTATAGCTATCCGCAGTTGTCCTAATGAATTCGCAATTAATAGAAATATGAACAAAGCTAAATAACTGTAGAAGGAGTTTGTTTAACTGTGAAAATCTACAATTTATGCTGCTTTTCTTGCTAAGCGCAGTAAAAAAAACTAAATATAGTTGTATTTTGAGTTGAGCGGCATTATGTTTAAAATTAAACAGGAAAAGTTATTAATTTCAATCCTAAACCAAATCTAAACAAACAAAATTTAGAAGGTATAATGAAGGCTCGGTTGATTATATAGTTTCCATATTTTTAAGCAACCTAAGATCCTTGATTTGACTGACTTAATTGGTTTTGGAAATTCTCTCGGAAGAAAAACTCAAAAAACATAAAGCATATTTCATCAGTATATCGCCAAAAATCAAATATGTTACATATGTACCCATAAAGATTTCCGATCTAACCAATCTATAGTAACTACCGGCTCAAAATTTAGCATAGATTTTATTAGTTTCATTTCAAATCACTCAAAATTTACAAAGTAGTATTGAATTTATGGAAAAAATATCATCTACACAGAATTTCAAGTAAAATCGTAAAAGCCTCTTTTAATGCATCACCATCCCCGATAATAATAAAAAAACGCCTATATACGTTTCTGTCTCTTATCAGTAACCTTACAGGAAAGATAAGCATTTGTGTTTAGCAACATTGCTTCTAATTATGGATACTTACCATGAAAAGGAAGTTAACTCACCACTATTTACAATGAGAGAAGCAACGGCCACACCATACTAAACATAAAATGAATGAATGAATGAGTGTGAAATGAGGAAAAACGCATTCAATTAAAAGTGCTTGCATAACTTTCAATGTTAAATGATATATATGAAAGGAGTATAAGTCACTCTCATCGTTTTGTCCAAAATTTTCTGAATTTTTGTGAGAGAATTTCTTTACTTGGCATCATTTTTTTGGGTATTACTGGCATTGTTATTACAAAACTTAGTTTTCTCTGAGAGGAGATGCGTTGCTCGTGTTATGTCGAAAAATGAAAGAAGGAAATAGAGATAGAATCACCACTTTCACCACCTTTTAACAATTGCTTACATTAATATAAACCTAAACTTCTGCATTTTTTTTCTCTGTTGCTCTAAGCGGAATTTCTTTGATTACTTTGCAGTATTGAGTCTCTAGGCATTTTATTATTATAAAATGTTTTACTCGCGTCTCAAAAAGGGAGAAAGATATATAGAAGAATCACCAATTGCGTACATGAATGTAAACATAAATTTTTGAATTTTGTATATCATTTCTATTCTTAACGTAATGTAATAACAAAAAGAAATACTATAATAATAATAACGGTAATAACCATAATAATAATCAAAAAACTTTTACTATCAAAAAGACATCCATAAGAATACACAGCAAAGCAAATTTTACTCTCAAAGAATTATCCAGAAGAATACATAGCAAAGCAAATTTTACACCAGAAAGGCAAAATAAAGCACACACATACATATTTTGATGCTTTGATTAAAAAATAAAATTCATCAATCATAACAATTCCATTCTAACTTTTTTACACTTTTTTGATATTAACAATAGTGATAATGAAATTTTATTTTATTGACATAAAAAAATCCTTGAAATCTTATCAATATAGAAATGTTCCATATTTTTGGAAAAGTTATGAACAGTATAAAATAGACGATTACGTTGTTTGCGGATTGAAGATTTACATTTAAATGCCACATTATTGATATTATGTAAAAAAAAGATCTATAAACATACCTCTATTCAAACTCACTAAAGCTATGAAAGTAAATAAAATAGCTATGGGTTCTCTATAAGCGTATAGTTGGTCAGTATCTTTCCGACATTTCTTCATTAAATAATGCTTTCGAATTTTTTATATCCAAAAGGTCGAGAAGACTCTTTTCAAGCTTAAATACTATCTACTTCTCTAGTTTTGAAAATTCGTTGTGTGCGTTGCAACCATATTGATACAATGAATATACCCCTAATCTCTAGCTAATCAAGCTAACATGTCTTACGTGTTTTGCCGTCGTCGTTGCTCCTACAGTCTCAGTCGATTCAGTTGGTTCAGTTAGTTACTATTTTTAGTTTAGTCGGTTTTTCTCTTTGAGATATAAAGAATGAAAGGTGTTTTTGACTTTTCCGAGAGTAGAATTTTTTCTCTTCACATATTTTTTATTAACATTTTTTTTTTTGTAAACAAATTGTAATTTTTTTTTTTTACTTTTTTACATTTACTAGTGCTTTAAAAATGACTTATTCAATTACATAAACCTAAATTAAAGCGAATTAATAAATAAATATAAACTAAAAATCATACAGACCCTAAAAATACTGAAATCTCTTATAAAAAAATTTAAACGTTTTGGCATACACGCCTTTATATAATTGTCGTCAATTCTCATTAGCATATCAACTATGGTTTCGGATCGGATGGAGAAAAACGCGTGTAACTTGTTTGAGTTTGAGTTCTTTGCATGATGTCCGCTGATTAACCATTGTAACCAACATCGAACTGCACACTTGTTGTTATGGAAACTAATTGAGAACCGAATTGTTATCAGAGCGTAAAAGAATACTCAAACTTTTAATCGTACTCTCATTTGGCATCATTTTTTCGGTCTTTGCTGGCATTGTTATTGTAAAATTTTACGTGCTCTGAGAGAAGATTTCTACTTGGCATCATTTATTCAATCATTGCTAGCATTGTTAACCTAAAATTTTATTTACTCTGAGAGAATTGTTTTGATTGCTTGGTACCACCAGGGCATTTCTGGCAGTGTTTTTGTAACATTTTATTTTAGAGAGGAAATATCTTTCATATCTTTCATTCATTATACTCTGAGAAATCAATTTTATTCTCTGCATTTTTGCTGGGCATCCATAAGAAATGTACAGCAAAGACAGTAAAGTAAATTTTACTTTGCTTTTCAATTTCATTTTTTTCTCTTACTGGTGGAAGATGTGTGAATTTTGTATCGCGGAGACTTGTGTAAAAAATAATGTACGTTATTTTATTATTTTCACTTGGAGTTGTTAAGAATTTGTTTTTGAATTTTGAACGATAAGGATGTGTGGATTTCATGTCGCGCGAGAACTTGTGCGAAATAATATACGTAAATATATATACAAAATAATTTCTTATCGCGAGAGCATATGCAAAATAATATTCGTAAATATATTTAAATAAATACTTCCACTTCTTTAAACGGTTGAGCCAAAGCGGATAAATATAAACGAGAAATTTATGAAAATTGAAAACAAAAAATATATATATGTATGTGCATATAATATATGCACGTATGTTTGAAAACTTACAGTAATGTTTAAATAATTCTTTGATATTAAAGGGAATTATATATATATATATATATATAATAAAAAAAAGAAGAATACACCCACACACATATATGTATGTGTATATATATACATATATATATTTATATGTATAGGTATTAAGAAAAGCAAAATAAAAAAAATATTTTAAGCAAATAATGTTAGGAAAATAAAAGAAAAAAAAATTATCGTTAGGGCGAAATAACAGTAAAATAGAAATGTGCTGAATACAAACTGCAGTTTGTACAGCCTGTTGCTGGTGTGTGTTTCAAAAGTATTTTTGAAAGAAAAAAAAAAAACAAACAAAAGGTATGCACAGTTGTGGGTATGCAAAAAACTGCAAATAAGTATGAGCCAGGGCATTCAAAAGACTACATGATGATAACAACAACAAGTGCCAAAAATTCTAATTTTTGTTAGGAACGAACCATTATTATACCGGGGACATGTTGCAAAAAAAAAAACTAAACAGAAAACATGTTTCATTTGGTAAATTATAATCTATTAAAAAATTTTCCTTAAAATTCCTAAAGCAAGTAAAACATACATACATATATATATATATATGTATTTAATATATAAATTCATGCATATATATATATATATATTCATATATATATTCATATATATATATATACATATATATATATAAATATTACATCTTTTCGATTCTTGCATGTGCTAAAGAGGCGATATTAAATTACCACGAAAAGAAGAAGAAAACCATCCTTTAAATTCAAATTACACGCTTTAGTAGAGAAAGAGATTACCATTCAACAAGTTTTCAAAATTAAAGGACGTGCCAAGCATAACATTAATTATTATAACAAAGAAAAAAATTTATATATATATATATTTTTTCCTTTAAGAATCAGTCGGGAAAAAAGTGCAGTGACATCAAATGACACACGAAATAAAACCAAAAATTTTCTGAAAACAAAAGTACCTCAAGCACAGAAATGCTTTTATGAATTCAACACCAAACCTCAGAGACAAACCAAGCCAACAAAACAAAAAAACAAAAAAAAAAAATAAATAAATAAATAAAAAAATATAAAAAAAAAAAAAAAAAAAATGAAAAGAACAACGATTACATTAAAACCAACCTAAACGTTTTTCCAGGAAACCACAAGAATATCACAAAATTAAAAAAAACAAAAACGAAACAGAACCGACAACTAAACTCCTTTTTAACCAGCAACTAACGTTTACGTTACGTTTTAAGCCATAAAATATCTACAAGAAAAAAAAATTAAAAATATAAAAAAAAAAAAAAAAAACAGATCAGAACAATTTTAGGCAAAACCCATTGGTGTGTTAAAAATTTTGTGCCTGTGTCTGTGGGGCCGTTCATGTGCATGTGCCAGTGTGTTGTGGTTCTTTCGACAATTTTCGTATAGAAAAAAGAAACTCCGAAAAAACCTAACCAATTTACTTTATGTCTCCGTTCGTCCGCTGCATTTGCCTCCAGTGATTTGATTAAGACAAAAACAAAAACTAAAAAAAAAAAAAAAAACCCTACAAAAAAAAACCAAACTTTATATATGTTTTTAGGCTTCTACCCTAATGTATTTGTTTGTGTGAGGTGATTATTGTGCATGCATTCGCAATCAATATATAACAACTAAACGCGAGTCTGTGTGGCTCCCCGATTATATGTGTGTCTTTATACGTTTATTTGTGTGTGTGTGTGTATGGATTTTTGAAATAAAAATCGTGTTTTTATCAACACAACAAGAACGAGAACAAAAGCAAAAACAACAACAACAACAACAACAACAACAATAAAAAATATCTCGGCAATTGAAACACATGCAATCCGCGAACAGTCGGCCAGCGAGTCGTCAGCCAGTCAGCCAGTCAGCTCAGCAATCGTCTGTTTTGTATCAATTCAATGTGCGATCTTTAATCTGGATTTTTTAACTGTTCCTCGCTGCACACATACATACATAATTGTTTAAATAGCATCAATTTCTCCACTCCTCGTTGCCTGAACTTTGCATCGTGGAACGATTTTAATAGCAATTCTATGGATATAAAATTTTATTGGTATGTTGTAAAGAGTTTCTCTTAGTTTTTATACGCGCAAGATTAGGATTTCGTTACTCACCTAAGTGCTCGCATTTTATTAAATTGTAAAAATCGTCTATCTTCTATATCATCTGTGATGAGTGCGCAGACTGAAAACAAAAAAAAAAAAAATAAATAATAAAAAAATTATTGATGAAAATGGTACCTTGTCTTATATAAATTTTATTATGTTACAAATTCTCAAACGCGACAATTCGATACGATTTCATGAAAATTTCTTTCTCTCTTTATCTTTACCTCTGTCTCGGTCTTTTTTTCCCCCCCTTTTTTACTCCCTCTTTCTTTCTTTCCTTCTCCCTTCTATCGACATTGCCGATCCATGAGAAACGCATCAACGAATAATTTTAAATTTGAAACACACACATATGCTTCACTTCCGTTCATTGTTCTTTGGAAAACATGTTTATTCGCAGTCTTAATCATCTTTTAAAAATCTAGAAAGGAGCGAATAACAATAAAGGAAAAACACATAAAAAATTGTATTATCTTTAAAATTAACAAATATTGAACATCTGTAACTTCCGTCCTTAGTCGATAAACGAAACGATTTATATAGTATAGGGATATAAGAGGGAAAAGAAACCCAATTACAAACACACCCATCATTAATATCATCATATGCATCAATACGTCAAATTGTATCCCCATTGATGTTTTGCTGTAATTCTCTCTTCTTTCTAAAAAAAAAAAAAAAAATGCCATTAAAAAAGTTTACAAGTGTCGATATACCCTCCCTACGAACTCCAAATCTATCTCTAAACTCTTTATCAATATTGGCGTTTGTTAAAATCCTTAAGAGCTTCACAGCTATCAGTGCAATCAAGAGAAATTCCAAATTCGTACAATCGGATAAAAACAAATGAGGTTCACTAACTAATTGACGCATAAAAAGTATTCGAAATTCTTTAGTTTTCAGACAACACACAGACCAAGTTGACTGATAGGACCGTAAAAAAAAAAAAAAAAGAAGAAAAGTACAATTATTTTTATTTATACTCATCAGCGGCAAAAAGGAATATCTTCACTGCACAAAGTGTATATATTCTTGATCAGTATCGAGCTCGGGATCAATTCAAACATCACTGTCTGCCGGTTTCTGTAATGTCTGTTGGAAACATTGAGAAGTTCTTGAATATGGGCCAAAACGGTCGAAGGACATGCCTACAGTACCGCGTAAAACTGAGAACATCACCATTTCTTAAAGGGAACGAATACAAAATTGACTTATTGCCGATAAATGTTCGACAAAAATTCGAAATTAATTTTTTATGGGCGATGCTATAGTTTCTCTACCAAAATGGCAAACATATATTGCAGTGTATCAGAATTCAATACACTTATAACGCGAAGAAACAAGTTTCAAAATTGGAATGCAACTAAATATGTCTGTCGGTCCATTGGTCTGTCTGCGCAACAATGTAAACATATTCCCGTTAGCGAAAATGAAGATATCGCCTATAAATTTCTAAAAGAGTTTGCAAGTGACTTAGATGAAACTTTTCCACGGGCGCGCGTACAATGGCCACACGCCTCGAATTCGAAAAAAATTATTTATTTTGAAAAAAAAAAACAGAAAAAATTCCCTATCAAGCGCCCAGCTCCCCATGCTATAGAGCATGAAAATTTAGTTCCTTTAGTTTTTCTTCCATCTTCCTTAAGATAACGTTGATGGGTAAAAAAAAGACAGGCCCACGATCGGATAAAATTTTCTTATTCGGTGCCAAAAATTTCGCATCGAACAGCATTGCAATTAAGATCACATAGAAAATTCCGAATTTATGGGCAAAATATATTCATTCTGAGGGAATGCAATTTTTACGGACATATTTTTGAATTGAAATTTTGCCGAAAATCTGTCTCTGCTATCAGCAATAAAATCGGGCCAATATACACACAATAACAATGACAAAATCGAATATCTATAATGTCAGACTTTTGCTTTATATTCGATGCGATATTCGAGAACGGTATGGTAACGAAACTATCATTGCTGAAGCCCATAACAACTGATTGGCAATTGAGTCCAATATTAAAATACGGTCTCTGTTATCGTTGTTAAGGTGAGTCTGCAATGCTAGCATAACGTTTGATCACGTAACGCGAAACGCGAAACGCGCACAGGCAACAGTGGAAATACTTAATTGCGATGTGTTACCCCATCTGTGTTGCCCCTTCTTCTGCTTACCGTTCGTTTCTCATTGATACGTCACGAGCTGTGTGTGTCTAAGTAGTGTCATAATTTTCTCGGCGTCTTTTTTCGCGGATAGCCTTAATGGACGAGTTTCCCTTTTTTTTTTCGATAAGAAATTCATCTGCTACCGAAAAGAATGAAGCCGTCTAATTTAATTCTAATGTATGGATTAATTAAATAAATAAAAAAAAAAAAAAACTATAATTTTGAACGAAATGTCACACAAGAAGCAAATGTAAATTTTCTGCTTTTTGTTGCTTATTTAACCTTACTCTGAATATTGCTTACGTTATACACTTATTTTGGATATGGCGTCTCTATTGAACTTTTGTTATGTTAGGGCGCCCGATCGCAAACACTATAAGACGTAATGAACCGTACAGCCTTTATCTCTCTCGTGCTCTCTCTCTCTCTCTCTCTCTCTCTCTCTCTGTCACTCTTTTTTAAAATCCGCAAATTTTGTATATGACTTGAAATGATGCTTCATAGCGAGAAAACTTGACCGACTTTAAGAAAATAAGTTTCTGAATGGCGTAAAAAACCTTCATTCAACTGATGCTAAAGTTATTCATAAATATTTGAACTAACACTGAAAAAGAGATGTTTTTCGTTTCGTTGCTTTTGTGCAGCATAATATTTTCCTATTCCCGATATGGTAATGGACTCAGCAAGCTTGAAATCACCACCAATTGTAAATACATTCTGAATGAATTATTTACATTTCTATGGAGACTGTATATATATATATATATGTGTGTGTGTATTTGTTTGTTTGTTTGTTTGTTTGTTATTTCAAAAGTATTTCTTTACAATTTCATTTTATATTTAATTAGGAGAAGAAAAAAAAAAGAAAAAAAACCAAATTTTCTTTTTTCTTGCTTTCTCAAGCAACGGTTAGGTTATCATTCACTAACTGCTTGTATGATAATAAAAGAGAAGAAGCATTTTCTTATTTCCACTAAAATGAATTATTTATGAGTTATTTCTATTTATTTTTCTCTCAATCGCTTGTGAATACAAAAACACACATTTTTATAAATTATTAACAAATTAATCAAGTGATGCCGCGTATACTGTGAGAGGATCTGTGAAAAGAGGGATGCAAAAAACTAATAGCCAGGGGAACGGAAGCGTGAGTGGGAGCGGGAGCGGGAGCGGGAGCGGGAGGTGGCGAGGGGAGGGGTTATTCTGTAAAGCAAAGCACAATTAATTGCTGCCGACAGATAAATATTTACTTAACACACATTTTGTAGGCAATAATTTGATGTATTTTAAGACCGAAAATTTCACTTTCACTTATAAATTGAAGAAGAAATTGAAAAATGTAAACATAATTATTGTTTTTTTTTTTATATTTAATTTTATTTTCTTTCCTAACGAGTTTATAAATAATTATTCTGTTGACTTTTTTTATTTTGTCGCAGACCTCTATCAGCCCGGGGTGTATAAGTAGGGCGTTGTAAGCGCTTAGAGAAGATAAATGCGGTATAACCGTGATTTTGGACGGTCTACATGATAATATAATTTTTCTTTTTTTTCTCATCTCCTTAACACAGTTGCAAAAAAAAAAAAACTCTTTTTAAAAATCTTGCTAAATAAGTAAATTTTTTCTCATTTAAAAAGGGATGATATGAAAATTTATTTATATATGTATATCAAACGCATTTAAAGTGATTTTAGCAAATTCGGAACGTTTCACTTGACCTCAAATATCTATATATATATATATATATATATAGGCAAAATTCAAATAAAAACGAAATCTTAGCGTAGCCATTAGTATTTAGGCGACTGTTCGTTTCTTGGACGCAATCGCACAAATGCACTAAAAATCGCGCTTTTCAAAGCTTTATTATTATTATTATAACTATTATTATTTATTTATTTATTTTTTCTTTTTATAATTTTTAGAAGGCCTCAAACAAAAGAAAATTTTTAATAACTAACAATCAATTTGAAATTTAGGCCAACAATAGCTAAAGGACTGACACATCCGTAAAAAAAAAAAAATCTAAAAAGAGTTCGATGACAGGTATTCAAGATTCGCCCCAGAGCGTATATAATTTTTTTATTTGTTTAAACTTAAGAAGAAAAAAAAAAAACTTCTTTTTTTTTTATTTTTCAATTTATTTTCCAACATGAAATTTATTTATATTTATATTTATATATATATATATATATATATATATGTGTGTTTTTTAAGCGTTGGCCATTGATTTATTGTGGATTTCCTTTTTACTCGTGGAAGATGAATTGTCAACATGAAATTTGTTTACAAACACATTTTCAACATTATCAACAGCAGCACAGTTAGTGGAGATGAGACTACGAAATTTTTTTTGTTTATTTTATTTATTTACTCTTTTTTTTATATTCTGTTTAAAACAATTTATTTAACCATTCATCACACACGAGTAGTCATCATCATATCATGTACATACGTTGCGTACACATGCACATATGCATGCATGAGATATGTAATGTATTTTCAACAGTTTTTTTTTCTCTTTTGCTTACTTCTATTTGTTATGCTTCTTTTTCTTCTTCTTCCATGAATTATTATTATTGTTATTATTATTATTGTAATTTTATTTTATTTTATTTTTTTTTTTTTGTTTTAACCAAATATGTAAACAAAACTTTTAAATTCCATTATGAGATCATCGTATACGTCGTATATCGTTGCATACAAATATTTACAAGGCATGGTACAGTTATTTGTAAGCAATTCGCTTCCTTTTTTTTTTTTTTTTTTTTTTTTTTGAATCCATGTCGGAAAGCAATAATGGTCATGAAGAGAAAAGAAAAAATAAAATAATTTCTCTATTTAATTAAAATCGTAGAATCGCAGTTGGCTTAATAAGTTTTACAAATTATGGAAAATTATTTAAATACAAAATTATTCTCTTACTGATATCAAGCTT